ACTATACTAATAAATACAAATAAGAATAAAATAAAATAATAAGAAATTATGAAAGTGGAGGAAACCCATGGTAACAATGCAAAATTATTTTGAGGTCCCAAAATAGCAATTTCAGAAAAAAAGTTGAAATAGTTTTTTATAGAAGACAAAATTATTTTACTTAAAATCTAAAATTTTTTGACTACTCAGAATTATTCTTTGATTGAATATACACATAAATAAGATACAAATTATTTCTGTGAATCATTTCTTCTTGAAATTATTTTGGATATCCTTTCTTACATTGTTTATGACCATTTTCTTCTACAGTTATACACAGAGTGTTAGGATTTAAATAACCACATAGATCATGTACTATACTTGTAATGACAGTAGTGTAAGTCTTCAGGTTAGTGGCTGAATTAGGTATTTCAGCTTGAACAATTTCATCATAATTATCAGGAGACATTGGTTTATCATCAGGATGAAGTATTAACAAAAAATATGTATGAGGTAATTCTTATTTTTAAAATTCGATAATATCAATGTAGGTAATAACACGTTCAAGAATTCTACATTCCATAAGATCCTTTTTCAATACTGTTAGTTTTTTTCTGAAGACATGTACTTTTACAATAAATTTAAAATTTCACTTAGTGAATCTTTTATTAATTGTGATATGATGTATGTACCTGTAACATTGGATATATCTTCTACCTTTTGTTCAGGGAATGATGAAGCTTTAATTTTCAGCCATTTCAAATTGCAAGTTACAATAATGAATAAATCTGATTTTCTAATATGAACTAAAACTATTGTATCTTGATAATGTTGAAACATATTGTAAAGACTTTCAACAAATGTTGCAGGAAAAATTATTTTGTGACCTACATGATGTGAGTTATTATCTCCATGAAAAATAACGTCCTGATTTTCTTGGTACAATTTACAATGTATCTTATTCTAATTTTTATGTAAAAAGTTTAAATGATCAGTTTTTATCTTAATATATATGTCTATGATATATTGTTGAAATAGAATTGGTAGAATTGTGTCTTATTTGAATCCTGTATAAATAATATTCTATCGTAGTAACAAACTTTTTTTGACATGCTGAACTATCACTATTATTATTAAGCACATTGCAATCTAAAATATTGTCATCATTTATCCATATTGATGTATTCGAGGAGTTACTGTAAGGTAAGCAATAAGGTATCTATCCTTGTTCACCTTGAGAAAAGAGAAGAGAATAGGTCAACGGATTATAACATCCAGTATATTCTGATATGTATATTAAATCGTCTATCCTTGTATGTAATATAATATCACATTTTTGTTTTACATTAGGTGGTACATCTTCATTTATCCAGATAGTAACTACTTACAGTGCAGTGAACATATTGTTGGTCTTCTGGTCTAACTCAGGAATATTAGTATGGATAATTAAAGACAGTTTTGTAATATATTGGTGGGATATTTCTGAAATATATTGTAAATAAGTAATATATGGATTATTTACATCAAGCATTTCTTTTAAAGATTGTATATTCGTAAAATTAATATTGGTATCTGGAATGGCATTTAACCAGTAATTAATTTCATGGTTTGTATTCCAAATATATATTTGTAGATATTGTAGAACAGAGCTTAGTTCTGGAAGCAATGATCCGATTCAATGATAGAAAGAACCTTGAATATAAAAAGTATATACTCCTACTCTTGCATTGGCTAGTTCACAATCTAATCTAACCCCAACTGATGCAAAAGAAAATAATGAATTGTAGACTTGAATTTTATCTCAAAAGTTTTTAGAGTTATTATCCTGATCACAAAGTAAGTGTTGTAATAACATGGGAGTGTTTGATTCCACTAATTTTATTTTCTAATTAAGACAACAAATTTCAGGTTTCCTAGCTGGTAGCTTGATCGCACGACAGTATCTACATGTAATGCAATTAACAAAGTTAATATGGGGAGGTAAAGATTCATCAACAGTAGTTATTTCTTTTGAAAAATTGCAAGTCAAATTATATGATTTATTCAAAATTGCATGTTACGCTAAGTGAACATTTATGTCATATCATTTTTGACGTTGGTATTGTTATTTTTCGTATTGTAACATTCTAACTCAGCATTTCTGGATGGTTCTAATTCTTCTCCATTCTTCTCTTGTAAGGTAAAGTGTCACATATGTCATAACTAATAACTTAGGATAAAATCATAATTAAAGTTGTATTTTTTTTTGTGCAAATATGAATTTATACAAAACTTATTATCACACTTTTTTTCAATTGTACAAACAAACTAAACATTTTTATTTTTTTAAAAAAAGCATCTTCACAACATCACAAAATAAAGGAATATTTTTAAGAACAGAAAGACTATAACATAATGATGTAATTTTGTAAACATATAATAATAACATTAAGGAATATTTTTTAAGGACAATATTGTTTTAACATTTTGATATTTTTGTATAAGTATGTGAAATCTTTTACATAATACTGAACATTTAAAATAAAATAATATATATTATAAAATAACCACTAATCAAAGTTGTAAATAGAGATATACTTAAATATCTCTTAACATTTCTACTGAACTGGAAAAAGAAACAGATCTTTAGTTTCATTTCATTACACTAATTTATTTCCTTCATAAATCCTTTGATCAAAGAAAATTTCACTATGCTAAAGACTACTTTCTATTAATGTTTCTCTTCCGTTAATTTGTTTATTATTCTAACATATTCATTATTCTAATATAATATTAAAAGTCAGTTTGTACAACTTAAATTGTTATCTTTCTCACATGTCTATCACATTTTCAAAGGTAAACAAGGTATAACTAACACAATCAATTAAGGCGGAAGTAAGTCTGTGGTGCAATCCCATTATTTTTACTAAATTTGTTATCACCTGGCTTAAAAACACTATTCTCCTATCAGAAAGTATCTCTTTAGAACATTCATGTTGACATATAACTTCGTTGTATATAAACTATATTATGGTTATTACATCTGTTCTTTCAATAGCTCTTGCCTCTAGTCACTTTGTGAAATAGTTCGTAGTTACTACGACATATCTTTTTGTCATAAAGATCAGCTTTAGTAAATTTACAATATTCGATCCCCAATCGATCAAATACTTGTCCTACTTTGATTGGATGTATTTTCTCAATTTGTGTAAGCTTGTCTTGTTATTAGCATGTATTGCAAGTCTCCACATAATTTTTAACATCTATATCCATAGAGGGTCAATAGTATCGTTGTCAAACCTTATACATAGTTAACTTTATACTGAAATGTCCTGTACTTAGTGTACTATGCATATTATGTAGTGTTGACCGTGATTTACCTTCAAATAAATACGATTAACTAACAACTAAAGGCAGGGAAATATGTATAGCGAACA